ACTTGGACACAAAATAAGTTCCTGTTTTGACATGTTACTTAAGTGACAGAGAGAGAACTGAGGTAGCATTTTAGACCGGAAACTAAAAGGTTAAAGAAATTATCCCAAACATCTTCTCCATATTATTCACTAATCAACTACAAGGTCTTTCCTAATGCAAAATTCTGTTACAGTATATGTAGTTCATTTCTATTTATTTTTTCTCATTTTTGAGAATCAAATGACACATTTATGTCTAGCCATGCCTGTTAAGGATATTAACAAAAATAAAAGTAGGAGAGAGATATTAGGAAGTAAGAAGATAGAAGAAATGTAATGTGCAAGGCTAAGTGAGCAAAGATGATTTTGCGATATAGCCTTAGGTGACAGTCTCAGAGCAGGACCAGTTTATTCTCCTGTAGGGAGGTTGCCCAGTGTGTGACAGTGACATTCAGGTCCATGAGAGAATGTTCTGCTCTGTTCTGGTGTGGTTAAAACTGGGGTAGCTTGGGGCTGTGAACAGGATTTTTGTAACTAGCCTTAGCATGTGTACAATAGGTATTACATTAAAGGGATAAAGTTTTAGAAGAAGTCAATAAAAACCACCTATAAATATTTTGACACTGTATGAGGCAGATAGTAAGCACATAATAAATATTATCTCTATTCTCTTTTACTCAGACGTGGTGAGTTGAATAATGAAAAGATCCCACAGATTTTCTTCTAAGTCAAGTTTGCAAGTCATTCTGCCTCTCTGAGAAATCTCAAGGGTGGCAGTCAAAATTTGAGCCCTAAAATCAAAAAGGCAATGCACATTAGAATAAAGTGCAGATGGAGGGGTAAGGGAGAGGCACTGAGGGAAGGACCTCTTATTATGCCTCTTAAACACAACAAAATTGATTTATAAGCATCTCAAACCTACTGAGGAAGGAAAATCCTGAAAATGTTCCAGCTGGCAAGGGATAACATGGGAAATTAATTGTATAATACTTATTATTATTTATTTAAAGTGTTACTGACAGCTATTCTTTAATGTCCTGCCTTTATTGTTTTATCTCAATAATTAAAGGAGGCTTTCATATACTAACTCACAGTTTTGACTCCACCAATCCTATTTTTTTTTACACCGTTTTAAGTTTCGCAAATGGTAACTTTCTCACCATAGTAGTTTTCAGGCATAAACTCTAGCAGTAGAAACTGACTGCTTTTGCAGGAATGTGAAGCTTCCATTTTGGCTTCTAGGCCATTACTGGAGATTCACCTTCTTATTTCGAAAGTAGGTAACGTTGCCAGATGAAATAAGGACGCCCACTCAAAGTTTAATTTCAGCTAAACAATGAACAATTTTCAGTAGAAGTGTGCCCCAAATTTTGCATGGCACATACTTTTACTAAAATATTATTCATTGTTTTAGCTAAAATTCAAATTTAACTGAGAGTCTGATATTTTTATTTGCTAAATCTGGCAACCCTAAAACTAGGTTTTCCTAGTTTATTAATAGGAAGTGGGAAAAGGAAGTTAGTGAAAAGACTGAAAGAAAACAGAGCGTTGAGCTAAGAACCTGTTTTCTTACTAAGTATAATCATCTCAGCAACATACCTCAAAACAAACTACAAACTCTATACATCGTCCAAACTAGTTATTGAATGTATACAATTAGGAAAGCCCAATGAACTTGAAGAGGACTTTGATTTTGCAATCGTGTTTCTCAAACCAAAACAGGTATACTATATCTTCTACCTTTTATAAATAATCATTTTTCAGATCTGCTGAAGAACAATTCAAGATGTTATCCCTTGACATAAAAGTGAAAAGATGCATATAAATCACTGAGATTTTTGAGATTCACATCCTCATGATGACTTCCTAAATCTTACTTCTTATGGAAGAGAAATTGCTATAAAGACTTCAGGCAGATATGACAAATTAATCCTTCATTTCTTCTGAGTCAATTTTCTGTGTTCTATGTAGTATTACAAGTTTCACTATTCTAGGAAAATTCTGACATTCTAAAACTTGTTTAAAGGTTTTCCTTTACTAAACATGTTGTATCATCAAGAATTTCACAGAGAAATTTCAATGCCCTCTAACTTTCTAATTCTCAACCCACAAATTCAGTTTGTTTCATGGGTTTTGGGGAAGTGATACATATGAGATATTTATTTGTAAGTCAAAATCTAAAACAAAGCCCCACCGACAATCTAATGGTGACTGTGACATGACATTCACAAAAGAACAGAAGAAAAATAAGTTGTTTAGGCCGGGCGCGGTGGCTCACGCCTATAATCCTAGCTCTTGGGAGGCCGAGGCGGGCGGATTGCTCAAGGTCAGGAGTTCAAAACCAGCCTGAGCAAGAGCGAGACCCCGTCTCTACTATAAATAGAAAGAAATTAATTGGCCAACTGATATATATATATAAAAAAAAAAATTAGCCGGGCATGGTGGCGCATGCCTGTAGTCCCAGCTACTCGGGAGGCTGAGGCAGAAGGATCGCTCGAGCCCAGGAGTTTGAGGTTGCTGTGAGCTAGGCTGATGCCACGGCACTCACTCTAGCCTGGACAACAAAGCGAGACTCTGTCTCAAAAAAAATAAGTTGTTTAAAATTTGCTTCATCTAAAAACAGAAAATCTTTTTCTAATTATAATCATACATATTATACCCTGCATTTCAATAATAACATTTTAGCTTGAATCCTTAATCATGTGTAATCACTTAACCTAGGCAAAGATCCAAGGATTAATAAGAAAAAAAAATCATGAAATTCAAGATTTTGAAGGTGTTTTCAGATCCACTGTCAAGACCACATGAGAGAAAAAGTATATGAGCACCATTCCAATGTGTATCCTATTCCACCTGCATATCCATTACCACCATGCAAAGAACAAGCACACGAATAAATACGCCACTAAATGTGCTGGTAATTTTGATCACCTCTATTTCAAAATGTCTCATGACCAGCACCACTTTCAGCAAGGGCTATTTTCTGATGGAAACAGAAATCTAAGGACAGCATTCTAACCACAGTTACAGGTGCATTTTGTCTATTATCATTCTGTGGAAACAAACTGTATTTAATATTTCTATAATTTTAGCATTTGAGAGCTTTTGCACTTCTAGATAAGGCCGTTGCATGAAAGAAGACATTTTTCAAATTTGTAATGTATCTTCAGGCTGGTTTAAGTTTATTCTTTAACTCACTCTACTCATAGTACATATATGTACAACAAAGTATAGGTAGTTTATATCAAATACAAAATGTACAAAAACCTTTCACTCTCTCCAACAGTGCTCGAGGATGCATTATCAGACAAGCAGATAAGTGTAATGATGAATTGCACAATAGGGTCGGCACTAATACAGTGGTTTTCTATAAAATTCAAGGTAAGCAAATACTTTACATTTCAGAACATAGCTATTTTGATGCCATATGTTAGGGACGGTCCAAAGTGATAGATGTTAGCAACTTTAAATCTGTAGGTCCTGGATTAAACAACATAAAGGAACTTTGGAAAAATGGCAGTGCATCCAGAGAGTAGCCTAGATTGAAGGTAAGAGTCTCTTCTTGAGAGTCTAATTAGGCTCTTCCCACCTCTGCACTTTTTTTTTAATCTTATAGAGACACCTTAGCAAAGCTATCAGCTTTGACAGAACACCGAAATCCTGGCAGTGAACCATAAATTGACCATTACCATAAAAAGAGCTGCTAAATGAGAAACCATGTGCTCAGTATAAAACTAATTTCATGCTTTCAAAAGCACACAGTGGCTGCCAGCAAGATAGTGGCCCTGGGACTTGCCGAGACAGATTGGCGAACACAAATGGTTTGCCCCTGATGCGTCTGCTTAGCCAAGCTTTACGCGTACTGGCAGTGAACGGGGTTCTTGAGTCTTCTGTCAAACAGATAGATACACACTTATCTATGACTTGAAAAATGAACGCTGTAAAACAGCTGCCTCAAATAAATTTAGCAGGAAAAACACATATAGGTATATATATGTGTGTGTATATACACATGCACATCCCATGTACCTTGTTAACTGCTTCCAATCAATAAAAACATATTTCTCTGAAGATCTAACATACTAAACAACCTGAATAAGCACAATGTTATTTGAATAGATCATAACCCTCCCACTCCTTTCTTGTTTAGAAAACAGCTTCTCATAGGAATTGGAGTTTAGCTGAGCCTAAGCAGTGGGATTCCATCCACTTGGAGGTTAACTTTGAGCCTGCCCTTATCTAGTTGGCTTTCAAATACCCTATACTCACAATGCTATATCAGACCTTCCTGATCATGATGATCTAGTAATTGAACTTCCTCAGGTGAGGGCCAGTACATTATTTACATTTAAATTATAAAATCTGCTACATTTAAAACATCACATTTAATTAAAACAGGCTTTATGAAGAAATGCTGTTAATTTCCTCCTCCTCTCATTCAGCACACCATCACTAGAAATCAATTACTGTTGGTGGTCCAGTGCACGACAGGTCATAACTTTTAATTATTAATAATGTCAAGCTTAACAAGGTGTCAACTCCAGTAATGTAATCCATTTCACTTACTTTCTTAGGTATCTTGTAAACATGACTTGTTTCCTCCTATGTTTTTCATGTCAAAGATTCTAGAAAGTGCATTTAGTTTATAGCCTTTTAAATATACCTGAAGCACATAATAACACTGCTAATTACCTACTTTTAGTAATGATAGCAAATCGCATAATATCACTGACTTGTTCTGAATGTTTAAAATGCAAAGGAAGTCACCTACTGGTAAGATGTCCTCGGCAAACAGCTAGCACAGAAAGAAAAGGATGCTGATCACACCCATTTAAGGAGTTACTTCCCAATAAAATTAAAGAATCATATATTTTGCTCTTCAGTCTTGCCCCTTCAGATGTGTCAGCGCGATGTGATAAACACACAACTGACGACTCCACAGGATTTAGCACAACGTCGGAAAGAATCTGTCACTGACATCCCAGACCCCAGCATCCAAGTTTTAGAATAAAAATGCTCACCTCTGCTAGGAAGTCCACTCCACATCCTGGCAGGGCTTGCAGCAGCTCCGAGAGCAATCAAGTTGGATAAACAAAACTTCCAGTATGTGACCAGGGTAATGCACAGTGCTACCGAGACTTGGCTCCAGCCCTGATCATCTGCGTGACAGCACCACGTTATATCAGAGCCGCTCCAAACCTTCCCGGTAGCTGGCTTATTGCACTGCTCATTGAAAATCCTCTACACGCTGGCAACATTTTAGGGAAGGACAAGCACACTCTGAGTCATTTGTAAAGAAAGCAGAGCAATTTCAATTCTATATCTCCACGCGTGCTGAAACCAGAAGCACTGTCAACGCACAAGTCTGAGGTGGATTTATGCCGAGGAACAGGCAACCTAAGCCTTCATTATCAATGCATGAAATCAGCCACTGTGATCAAATTCAAGCAAACCACAAAAAGGATATGATTATGAAAGGCTCCACAGATTTAGCACCAAACCTTGTGGAATGAAGAATCATCTATCGAAATTGTGTAAATGTTAAAAATAGCTCTGGCTTTTTCAACAATGAGCAGGATACAGAGAAGAAATCAGTAGTCTATATTATAAGGACTTATAAAGGCTGCAAAGCCCAAAATAGCTGTAGATTCCTGGGACTTCTCTATAGACAAATGAAATCACTAGAGGCTATTACAGTTATAACAAAAATAATTTCATATATTGGACACATATATCCACTAAAGAGCAAGTTAAATGCCCTTTAACTCCTAAGTGTCTGTCTCTAAATTAAAATAATGATGATAGTAAAAATGTGCAGGGCTATGCTAACGCAAGGGGAAAGTACTATCAATTTTTGTCTAAGACAATTTCTTAAACAATAAAGGTTTAAATGTATTGTGTAACAAGAAAATAAACATGCAAAATAGAAAATATTTTAATACCATATTTGCTCATTATTAAAAAAATCTATAGCTTATTAAACCAATATATCCCTATCCCAGCCACCTCCAAATTTATACCTTTGCTTTTTTACCATCCTTCCTCTTTTGTTACTAAAATATAAGATACAAGAGCCAATTGACACAGTCTTAAAAAAGCACAAGGTAGGTACACCCCAGAAAGTAGGAGCAATGATTTGAGATCACAAAATACAGAGCTCTGACGTGTCCATGCAAAGCACAAAGCAAAGAGGCCATGAAACATTTATCACAAGTCACAAAAATAACTGGAAGAAATTCCCAGTAGGCAGCATTGACAAGAACACATTTAATATTCTATTCAAAAAAAATTTTAAGGGTTTTAAGTTCTCATTGAGAAGCGAAAAGGCAGAGCAAATCCAATAATTCCACTAAAGGCTATTCCTAATTCATAGATCTTCTATAAACGATGGGGTTCAGTTCTAGTAATACTACTGGGTCTTAGGTGACACATTTAGCAGTGTCTACAATGTAAAACATCCATGTAAAAATAAACAATACGCCACAACATGCATTTAAGTAACAGCATTATGGAGCAACGTTAAGCACGGCACTCCCATGGGTATCCTCTTTATGTCCCTATATGTAATGTTGACTCCCTATAGGCTGCTGGTTAGATGCCCTTCCTTGGAGACAGACATAGATATACATGAGTGGATACGCACACAAGCATGTGTGCGCACACGTACACTTATGTCATAGAACATGCAGTCACTTTTGCCACCCAAATTCCATTGGTTTTGTGTCTCATGAAGCCCAAGGGCAGCATTTGAATGCATTATGAGAAATAGCTTTGGGCATCACTGATTCAGCAATTGTTCAGTGTCCTCTCTTTCTCCTCTCTCTCTTTTTTTATCTCCCTCTCTCTCTCACACACATTCACAACTTTTCTCATCTTAGAAAATAGTTCATGAGAGATTGTGTACCTAAAAATCTTATTATTACCACACATGGAACTCCCCAGTAATAAAAGTTTTAAATGAAACCATGATATTTGATTATATTAATAGATCCTCAATCTCTTATCTAAAACCCTTAATGCCTGATGTATTTCAGAATTCAAGCCTTTTCAGATTTCGGAAAGGTAATACTCTGCATATGCCATACATTATATGACGTCTCCAGTGGTAGGCGTTATATAGTGCCCAGTGGGGTCTGGGGCACAAGTCTATAATCAGACACATTAACATTTCCGTAGCAAAACATGAGTATATTCATATTAGATGGGATAAATAAAGACTGTAATTAACCTCATATCAGTTCAGGTCAAGTTTTTCCATTAATATGAATTAAAAACCTTCTGGTTTTCAGGTCTTGGATTTCAGGAACTGCAGGTAAGAAACTGTGGACGTGTAGGAATGTTCATCTAAACTGTTACAAAGTTATAGATTAGGAAATGGTATCTAAGCAGGTGTTCTCTTGCTTGGGCAAGAGATTTGGAGGGTAGCATTGCTTTAACAAGATGGGCAAAAAATATGAGAGAAGGTGCTATTAACAGTGAGACATAAAGCCAAGCAGAAATGTGGCAATAATGCAAAATGACAAAACTAGGGCATGGAAGCGGAAGGCAAGAAGAAGCCATTCAGAATTACTGAATCAAAAAAAAAAAAATAAGCAAAACATAACAACAGTATCAACCATTCATTGATTATCTAAACTTTAGGCTCACTAGTGCGAAAGGCACTTGACATAAATATTTTCTTAGCAATTTACCTTAATTTTCAAGGGGAAATTTTAAAAGGAAGAATGTATTTTCAGAGTTAGGCATAAAACATAGGGTTACCCTCTTCTCACTGTACCCAAAAGCAAATATCCATAATGTTAAGTATCACACGAGACACAGTCAGAAGAAACAGCAACAAAAAATATGCTTTACAGAGTAAACACGCCTGTTTTATTTGCATGTGCTATATCCTGCTTGGTATAGGGGTTCTTGAAAATCACTCATAGAAAGAATAGCAATATTCTCTACCATCACTATTCCAACTGTTTAATTTTAAAATTCATTTTTAAAAGGATATTGCAAAAAACATGAATAATGTGTTGCATTTGCTTGGAGTTTTTCTTAGAGTATTTCCCAAAGAAATACTCTTTTAAGCAAGTATGTTAAAGAACTGTAACATCGCAAGGCATTGACACTGGACTTAAGACTGTGGGCCTCCAGAACATTCACCATCTTCAAGAGCATTTCCTGGGTGCTCTGTGAGGCCCAGACCCGCACTGGGGAGGAATCCTAGAGGCGTTTATGTGAACGGTAGGCTTCCTACTCACTGGACAAAGCAGAGTGGAACGTGTGGCTCTAATTTTAACATCTAGGAGACGATCACAAAGTCATTTTTCATGTGAAGAAGGAAACTGAATTTATTCTTTTGACAATACAACATCATTTGGTGAATTCTTTCTTTAGCAACCAAAATGGTGCCCTGATGGTTTGATGGAGCTATGGCAGCTTCTAAAAGTAACTGACTGTACCATAAGATGGGTACCACTTCAGGGTTAAAATAAATAAAAATCTCACTATAACTTTTACATCATGTCCATATAATAATAGATAAACATCCAGTGTCTATAGGGCAAGAGTCTCTGGATTGCAATGTAGGCTCACCAGAGGGCAAGCTCTTAAAATGAAGTGGCACAACATGATGTGAATGCCATCACATTCATAAAAAATACAATATCCAGCGCTCTCACCTCCTCCAAACTCTCCACTAACCAGAAGAAGAGCAGACATGTTTCACAGCTGGCCCAACAACCAGCTCCAGAAAACGTGTAAGTGCTAAGGATGAATGCCAACCTCATGATCAGGTGTAATATTCCACAGGGATGCCTAACCAGGGACAATGTCCAACAGCCTCCTTGGCTGTGATGCTGTTAAAATATAAAAGTGGAATGTCTATGTGAAGAAAGTCGGTCAGTCATGGCGACAACACATTCATCCCCCAGCAGAAACTGACCTCACTAATTTATATTGCCATTGAGCCGGCTACTGAAAATCTTTCTCCCTAGATTAGTTTAAAATGGGTAACACTTCTATCTCACGAAGACACCAAGATTTTAAGTGTGCCTTCGATGATTTAAATCACTCAGCTACCCAGATACTTGCCATGATTGTATAAGACTCAGTTTCCACATTGAAAAATGTCTGCGTTTGGTTTTCAAAATCTAAAACCCAAGACTTGATGTTGTTAAACAACTTTTATCTTTTAATAAATATGATGATATATGTAAAAGTTCATAGTCCAAAGCATTCTTACAGCACAATTCTATTTGATCTTCACCAAAAAAGGGCCAACCACTACTTTTAATTCTTTTAGTAAAAAAGTTCCATTCAAACTCCTTAGAGTTCTGTACTACATAATCAACACACTTGTTTAACAGTTTTTAACCTCCTGTACAAACTATGGAGCTGTTCTATGATGACTTTTTCAGGTCTGTTTTAGGCAAAGTTTTAGATTTCTGATGCCATCAAAAATGGCTGAGGCTCTGTCTGAAAGTCAAAGCATTTTGGGGGTGTTGGAGTTATAACTGAGATTTCATCCTATTTCCAAATTGCTCTACTTTTATTACTAAGGAAGCTCAATCTTAATAAGCCCTACAATACAAATCTCAATTAAATTGATCTGGGAGAACAGATGTGGGGCACCAACAGCTATCCTTGCTGGGAAGAATAGAGTCAGGATTTTGTAAAATACTTGGAAACTAAACAGCAATTAACTCTGGGTAATGCAAAGAATCAGAAAAGTATGTCAATAGTCCTTCTATTGTTGATATCATCACTGGGTCTGAATTATTCCAAGTAAGAGACAATTCCTGGGCTCTCTTATAAGGATCTGGGATTTATGCTAAGAAAAGCAGATTTCCTCTTCTCATGGGTCCAATTTGGTATCTTTTGATGAAGGCCTTTTCCCCTTCTAAGTATGTCCCTTCATGAAAAACTGTAAGAAATCATAAGAGAGCTCTCTAATAAATGGGCCATATAGTAATTATTCTATCAAAGGAGTTTTCTGTACTTATAATTAAGAGGTTTAAGGAAATAAGTACATTGTAAACAATTTAACCCACCTGCTCTCACTGAGATGACTGACTTACCTAAATGTACTTACTGGTATAAACTCAATGATACTTCATCAATGATTTGTTATACTTTTACCATGGTACTTATATTTTGCAAAAGTTAGATTTCTTGGTTGAATGACAAATGGAAAATTTATTTATCAAAAACTAATAAATAAAACTATGCGTTTCTACTGGAAAAGTAAAAGATATTATCATATTGATAGATTCTAGCTCTATCACATAAACCTAAGTTTACATAATTTAATATTTATGTTTATACTTGATATATCTTTAAATGAACTACAATTTTTTCCAGATATGGAAAAGTATTAACATATTTAGTTAGTAATTTTTTTCCCTGTAAACTGGAGAATAATTTCTCCTATTCTCCTTTTCCCACCACTATATCTCCCCTAGATATTCTACCTGATGCATAAAAGATGCTCAAAAAGTCTATCGAATGACCATGCTCCTACCCACACGTGCATGTCTACAGACTCTCACCCCTTTGTGTGGTATTTCTTTTCTTTCCATTCTCATTAATCAATTCCACTGAAACGCAGTCGTAGGAATGGGAAGGAGGAAACATCATACTTTCACTATACTCATGGCACCATCTTGTGGCGATTCTGTAGTATTGCATAGTCAACTTTAATCTGTAAAGTTTACCAAAAACGTCCGGGAAAATACATTTAAGGATTTCACCTTGTGTCCTAATGGAAGATTTAACATTTTAAATATTCATGAGGTGCAATGTGAGAAATTTGGCCTATGCATTTAAAAGCCCACACACACATATTTTAAAAGTCATACTATCTATTATAGTGCCTTAACCCTAGAAGCTGTTTAATCTTAAATATAGCATAGCAAGGAAAATAAGAGATGATTAGGAGGGGAAGAAAACAACTGAGGATGCTGGGAACATTAAGGAAAAGCACAGACTACTGCAAAAAAGAAAATAAGTGTTTTTGCAGCTGTGTTTTTTCTATACCTCTGTTCCCACAGGACCAGAAAGAACCTTCTTCCTGTTCTGGCTCCTGTCTACCTTTGCAAAGGGATCTTCCTCCTTTTTCCCCAAATCATATTTCACTCTAGTAATAACAAACTATTTCTAGTTTGTTCCTACAATGCATTTGCATTGTTGCTTCCTCTACCTGGATTGTTTTTTCTTGAATAACCTGAAACTCATCCTTGAATACTCACCTCAAGTATCACCTCTGGGAAGCCTTCCCTGACTTCTGTAAAGTTAACCATTCCTTTTTCTGTGCCACATCTACCGTATATGTAGATCTATAGCTATGCTTAGCATATCATAATGCCATTTGCTTAAATATTTATCTTCTCTTGACACTTCTCTTAAGACATTGTTTCATTAATCTCCATAATGTGGAAACTTGATAATATTTAAAAACAAGAAAAAAAAACAAAATTTGTGTTCACTCTGGTAATGCTATTAGAAGACTGGGAGTTTATTTCTTAACCAAAATTTTTATTAAGATAATTGGTGAATCACATGCCACTGTAAGAAAAAATACAAAGAGTTCCCTTGAACACCTTGCCCAGTTTCTGCCAATGGTAACATTTTATAAAACTAAAGAATGACATAGCAATCATGATCTTGACTTTGATATGATTTACAAATCTGTTTCAGATTCCCTCAGTATTACTTTTATCCATGTGAGGGGGGGAGAGACCTGTGTAGGTTCGTGTATCCACCAACACAGGACCTTTCATGCTGCTCTTTTGTAGCCACACCTACTTCCCTCCTGACAGCCACCCCCATCTCTAACCCCTAGCAACCGTGAATTTGTCCTCTATTTCTTCTCTTCTCTTCTTCTCTTCTCTTCTCTTCTCTTCTCTTCTCTTCTCTTCTCTTCTCTTCTCTTCTCTTCTCTTCTCTTCTCTTCTCTTCTCTTCTCTTCTCTTCTCTTCCTTTTTTTTTTGAGACAGAGTCTCGCTTTGTTGCCCAGACTAGAGTGAGTGCTGTGGTATCAGCCTAGCTCACAGCAACCTCAATCTCCTGGGCTCAAGCAATCCTGCTGCCTCAGCCTCCCGAGTAGCTGGGACTACAGGCATGCACCACCATGCCCGGCTAATTTTTTCTCTATATATTAGTTGGCCAATTAATTTCTTTCTATTTTTATAGTAGAGACAGGGTCTCGCTCTTGCTTAGGCTGGTTTCGAACTCCTGACCTTGAACAATCCGCCCGCCTCGGCCTCCCAGAGTGCTAGGATTACAGGTGTCAGCCACCGCACCTGGCGTGTCCTCTGTTTCTAAATTAGTGACATTTCAAAAATGTTAAATAAATGGAATCATGCATTATGTAACTTTTGGGGATTTGCTTTTTTCACTCAGTATAATTCTGTGGAGATCTATCCAAAATGTTGCATGTATCAATAGTTCATTCCTTTCTATTGCTGAGTGGTACTCCTTGGTATAGAGGTACCACAGTTTGTTTAACAAGTCCTCCCCAAAAGAAATCCATGCCAAATCCTTGGGACCTGTGAAAGGACCTTTGCAGATGTGATTAAGATAGGGATCTTGAGATGAAAAAAATAATTCTGGATTACCCAGGTGGGCCCTAAATTCAATGGCAAACATCTTCCTGAGATAAGGAAAAGGGAGATTTGAGGTGGAAGAAAAGACACCGACATACGGAGAAGAAGGTGATGTGAAGACGAAGGCAGAGATTGGAATGGCACAGCCATAAGCCCAGGAATGCCAGGCAGCTACCAGAAGGCGGAGGAGGCAAGGATTCTGCCTGGAGCCTCTGGAGGCAGTGCAGGCCTGCCAAATTTCAGACTCTAGGCTCAGAACATTGACAGAATAAATGTCCATTGTTTTAGGGCACAAACTTTATGGTGATTTGTCACAGCAGCCTCAGGAAAGTAACACAGAGTTGTTTACAATTTGGGGCTGTTATAAATAATACTGCTATGAACATTCACATGCAGGTATTATGGGAACATGTGTTTTCGTTTTTCTGGAATAAATTCCCAAAAGTACAACTGCTGATCAAATGGCATCTGCATGTTTAGCTATATAAAAACTTGTTGAACTATTTTCTAGAGTGGCTATAACATTTTACGTTTCCATCAGCAATATATTAGTGATGCATTTTCTGTGCATCCTGGCTAGCATTTGGTGCTGTCACTACTTTTTATTTTAGCCATTCTGATATGTATATAGTAAAATCTCATTGTGATTTTATTTTACATTTCCCTGAAGGATAATAATATTGAATATCTTTCCATGTACCTATTTGTCATCTGTGTGCCCTCTTAAATAAGCTAACTCCTCTTATCTTTTGCCCATTTTCTAATTGGATAGTTTGGGTTTTTGTTTTTTTTTTGTTTTGTTTTTTTTGCTATTAAGTTTTGATACTTCTTTATAAATTCTAGATAATAGTTCTTTGTGGAACATGTGGTTTGCAAATATTTTCTCCCATTTGTAACTTGTATATTCACCCTCTTCACATAGAATTTCACAAAGCAAGAGTTTTAAATGTTGTATTAAGTCCTATTGATCAATTTTTCCTTTTACAGATTTTGCTTTTGGTGTCAAGTCAGAAAGAACTCTTTCCCTAGCCTGAGGTCCCAGAGATTTTCTTCTATTTTTTCCTAAAAGTCTTATATTTTTTAGGTTTTACATTTAAATATGATTCATTTTGAGTTAATTTTTGTATATGATGTGAGATTTAGACCTACAGGGGTTTTTTTGGTTGGTTTGTTTGTTTGGTTTGTTGTTGTTTGTTTGTTTGGCCTATAGAGGTTCAATTATTCCAGCACCATTTGTATGAAAGGCAATCCTTCCTCCATTGAATTGCTATTGCACTTTTGTCAAAAATCAGTTGAGCATATGTGAGTGGGACTGGACTATGTCTAGGACATAGTCTTTCTAGTCTTTTTCGTTAATTTATATGTCTACACTTCCAATGAAACCACTTTGTCTTGATTACTTTACCTACATAGTAAACCTCAATATTAGGTAGAGAGATTCCTCTCTATATTATTCTTTGTCAAGGTTGTTGTAGCTACTAGGGTCCTGCTTTTCCATATAAATTTTAGAATAAGTTTGTCTATGTCTAAAAAAAACCTTTCTTGGATTTTGATAGTAAGTGCATGAAAACTAGATGATTTTAAGGACAACTGACATCTTAATCTTGTTGAGTTTTCCAATCCATGCACACGGTATATCTCTCCATTTATTCAGGTCTTCTTTTTTTCTACTCTTAGCATTTTGCAATTTTTAGCATATAGTTCCTGTGTATGTTTTTGGAAGTGTATATCTATGTATTTTATTTTATGGAGAGATTTTGTAAATGATACACTGTTAAGTTTTGATTTCCATATGTTCATTTTTAGCACTTAGATATGTAATTGATTTTTGTGTGTTGATCCTCTATCCTGCCACCTTCCTAAAACTCACTTATTAGTTCTAGTTGTTATTTTGTGGACTCTTTGGCATTTCTACATAGACTATCATGTCATCTGCAAACCGAAATGGTTTTATTTTTCATTTCCCAATCTGTATGACTGTATTTTTCCTGTCTCGTTAATATAGTGGCTAGAACTTCCAGTACTATATTGAAGAGGAGAAGTGAGAGTGGACATCCTTCCCTTGCTCTTGATCTTAGAGAAAAGTTCAGTCTTTCACCACTAAATATGATGTTAAGCGTAGGCTTTTCCTAGATGCTTTTGCTAAATTGAGATAATTCTCCTCTATTTCTAGCTTGCTGAATGTTCTTATCATAAATGAATGTTGGGTTTTTTCAAATGTTCTTATTGCATCAATTGATAGGATCATATGATTGTTTTCCTTCTTTAGCTTGATGATATGGTAGATTATATTTATTGATGTTTAAATGTTGAACTAGCCTTGCTTACCAGGAATAAATCTACCTTAGTTATGATGTATAATTATTTTTACATATTTCTGGATTCAGTTTGCTTATGTTTTGTTGAGAAATTTTTAGTATAAGTTCACGAAAGATACTATTCTGTAGTTTTGTTTTTTAATATTGTCTTCGTCTGGTTTTGGTATCTGGGTAATACTGGCCTCATAAAATAAGTTGGGAAGAGTTTTCTCCTCTTCTGTTTTCTGGAAGCAATTGTGTAAAATGGGTGTTAATTCTTCTTTAAGTGTTTGGTAGAATTCTCCAGTGAAACTGAAAATATTTAGAAATTTCCTTTTTAAGAGCTTTACAATGATGAATTCAACTTATTTGAAGGCTATAGACCTGTTCAGATTGTCTGTCTTTATCTTGATTGAGTTTTGGTCATTTGTGGTTTCTGAAAGACTGGTTCACTCTTCTAAGTTGTCAAATTTATGAACATAAATTTATAGTATTTGCTTATTATATTTTTGTTTGTGCAAGTTCCATAGTAATATCACCTGTTTCGTTTGTATCTTCTTTCTTATCTTTCTTTGTCAGTCTTGCTAGAAGCTTATACATTTCATTGATTTTTTTCAAAGAACCATCTTTTCATTTTATTGATTTCTCTCATCTTTTTGTTGTATTGATTTTTCTCTATTACTTCCCTATTTTCAACTTCATTGATTTTTGCTCTTAGTCTCTATCATTTCCTTCCTTCTGCTTGCTTTTGGTTTACTTTTCTCTTCCTTTTCTAGCTTCTTGGGTGAAAGCTTACTTATTTCAAATCATTTTTCACTTAAAATATAGGCATTTAGGACTGTAAATTTCCCTCTCAGCACTGCTTTAGTCACATCCCACATACTTTAATATGTTGTGTTTTCATTTTCATCTAGTTCTATGTATTTTTTATTTCCCTTGAGACTTCCTCTTTGATTCAGGGATTATTTAAGAGATGTTTTGTTTAATTTTCATGTTGCTTTCTATTATTAATTTCTAGTTCGATTTCATTATGTTCAGAGAACATATTGCATATGATTACATTTTTTTTAAATTCATTAAGGTTTGTTTTATGGTTCAAAATATGGTCTATCTTGGTGAATGTTGCATAGACATTTGAAAAAATATGTGTTCTGTTTTTTAATAAAGTTCTATATAAATTAATTAGATTCTGTTGGTTTATTGTGTTGTTCAGAGCTTCTATGTTCTTGCTGATTTTCTGTCTAGTAATTCTACTGGTTGTTGAGAAAGGGATCTTGAACGATAAATAAATGACCATAAATGATCAACCATAAATGATCAACTGTAATTGTGAATTATCTACTTCTTTTTTCTGCTCTGTCTGTTTTTGCTTCATGTATTTTGAGGTTCTGTTTTTGGTGCATGAACATTTAGGATCATTATGTCCTCCTCGTGAATTGAACCTTTTACCATTATCTAATGTACCCCTCTGTCTGTGGTAATTTTCTTTGTTCTGAAGCCTACTTTATCAGATTTTAATATAGCTACTTTTGCTTTTATTTTTTAATTACTGTTTGCATGTTATGTTCTTTTCTATCATTTTACTTTCAATCTATCTATGTCATTGATTTTGAAGTGAGTTTTTATAAGCAGCATATATTTGGGTCATTTTTAAAATCTACTCTGAAAATATCTGTCTTTTAATTTGTGTATTTAAGCCACTTACATTTAAAATAAGTATTGATGTGTTTGTACTTAAGTTTGACATTTCATTATGTGTTCTCTATTTGGTTCTTGTTCCTCCATTTCTCTTTTCTTGCCATCCTGTAGCTTACATTTTATAGTACTCCATCATGATTTATTTATATTATTTTTTATTATATATTTTTGTATAGTTTTCATAGTGGTTGCTATGAGTATTACAATGCTATACATATGTGACTTATGACAATCTATTGATATCATCATTAGCTACTTAAAGTGAAATACAAAT